TTGGGCTTTCTTTTATAAAATTTTAATGTTTGTTATAGTTTTAGTAGGGGTAAAGATTTTTGCGTTTCAGCTCCATATCGAGATCGGCCAGCTGCTGCAGAAAGCCATCATTTGGTCGTATTTCACGGCGCATGCGCACCGTACGTATCGCGTCTACGGCGGACATTTTGCGGCAGATCATCAGATAAGCCAGGACACAGGTGGCCGAACGTGACATGCCCACCAGGCAGTGCACCAGGATTTTGCCTAAAAAGAGAGAGAACGAGACAGCGAGAGAGAGAGAGAGAGGAGAGTYTTAGTTAATTTGCATTGATTTCTTGCGCTTAGTTCCGCTACTCACCGCCGCTGCTGATGGCGCTATCTATGAATTTGGCTGCCACATAGAAGTAACGGGATATATCTGTCGTTGGCGCATCGATCATCGGGAAGCCCATATATCTAAAAAAGCAATCCTTATGTTGACGTCTGGACACACAACAACAACAACGACAACGACAATGGAGCACACAGAGTGAAGGATGAGAGATGCGTGCATGTGCGTGCGTGCATGTATGAACAGTGATGCATACATATATACAGAGAAAGTGTGCAGTGGAATAAATAAAAAGAGAAAAAGAAAATTTTGATTTTTTTTTTAAAATGGATTTTAAAATGATAAACCAAAGTGCCAAAGTCGATAGTTAGCAAAAAGAAATCGATAAGCTACTATGGCATAGCATGGCATGTTATGCGAGTCTACTCTACATTCTGATCATGATCTCACCTGACGCTGGGCATATCCCGATAGTAACTGTGTCCAGTGTCCACCTGGCCATAGCGACAGCCCTCCGCGGCATTCAGCACGTGTGTGATGCCCGCCAAGCGCAAATAGGTTTTGTTCTTGGCCGCCGCGCTAAGGAGGAGAAAAAAAGAGTATTAAGAGAGCTCACAGAGAGAGAGAGAGAGAGGGGAAGAGGGAGAGAGACTTACGCATCGCCTATGTAAATGCCCGGATAGACTTCATCACAGTCAACATCGTGTATGGCGCACTCGGCACGCCTCAGGCCCGGTAGTGTCCGGCAGGGTGCCATCGAGTAGTGCAGGACGCGCTGCAGCTGCCGTCCCGTTGTCTGTTCCGAGGTTTCCAGGCGGCTGGGCGACTGTAAGCAAACATGTGGGGATTACACTCAAAATCAGTTTAGCTTGCGTTAGTTATCATGCGAAGTTGAATGAGACTAAGCAGAGATTAGTCTCAATTGTTAGACTGTGTTAAGGATAAAGCGCAGTTCCCGATTTCGCATGAGTTTTATATAAATCTAAATCTGAAACTTTAAGAGAATTCGCCTTTCATTCAAAGAATTTGTGTTGAAAGCTTACGCAGATAGCAATTGAACAAGATTATACAATTATTTTATAATTTTAAATATATGTCTAATAGTTAAAAACAAAAACAAAAATGTACTGTAGCCAAAACAGATTTGAAATATATTGAGAAATTAAAATCAATTCAACTAGATATTTATATATATTTTTGTTTTTTAATCAGAAAAACTGTCTATAGCTAAACTATATAGGCCAAATACATTCCAACTGGACACTAGCTAGACGTTCTCATCTCTAGTAGGAGCTCGTAGTACAGTTATCTCAGCATGCATGTCATGCACATTTGTTCAGCAGATCTCAAGTATGATGAAGTATGATAGGCATAATTTGTGCTCATCTGGAGTCTGTAGTTTATTTATTTAGATATGTAAATTTGTGTGTGCTTTGGCAGCGAGCAGATTATTTATGGGCATCAAGTTCAGCTTGGGCCTTTGGGTCCCTTTGTGTGCCAGAGCAAAAGCTTGGCCAAGCAAATTGATGGCAGAGGCGAAGGTCGCGCCTGCTTCGAGCCGCCCTCGTCCTTGGCGCGTTGAGCTCGTTTGTCAATTTCAGGGACAGTCGCCAAAGTCAATGGGAAAAGTGAATGTGAAAGTTTTTTCCTTCTTTTCTCTTTCCCCATATATATGTATATGCATATTTATATAGATATATATTATATTTTTCCCATTCTGTTTTATTATTATTTTTTTTTTTAGTTTAGCTTTGCTTATCGGTTGTCTGCTTTGTCATAACATATTCAAATAAAATCAGCGACAGCCAGGCGCCCACAAGCAGCAGGCGGGGCGGTGCAGCAGGCGGGCCAGGAACTGTTAGTGACAGTTAAAGAAGCAAGAGAGAGAGAGAGAGAGAGAGAGGGAGAAGAGTGTGGAGGAGTGCGATTGGGGCTGGTCCACGTTTCGTATGAAAACTTTTACTTTTTGTCGTGGCATTCGACCCTGAGCAGAAGACAGACAGAAGCCAAAAGCAAAAGCGAAAATCATCAGAGCAAAAGTTCTTTCACTTTTCTGTTTGATTTTGATCTATTGTGACTGATCTTTGGCATACACATATACACGGCACGACAACACAATATATATATATATATACATATACATATGATATATATATTCTCTAATAGATAAATTTGCATATGTTAGACGCTTATTTATACACAACATTTGAACATTTTATATGTTCAGCTAGAAGATTTATGGCCAAGCAATAGCAATAGCTATGAGTCTATGGAATATTTATCTTCAGTTAGATGTGGCCAAGGCCTCTCTCTCTCTCTAAAAATATGTATGTATGTATATACTTAAATGTATACACATATTGATGTGTATAGCTTTTTTGTTGTTGGCAAAATGTAGTTGCAAGCATCTTAATGGGAATTTGTTTAGTTGGCTAAAGCAAGTGTGTTGCACACACAAACACACAAACACACACACACACACACGCACATGTATGCACATAACGAACGACATTTCACAACACTGGACAGCATGCTTTGCGCTATGGATCGCAGGCAAAAACAAACCTGATAATAGTGCGGACTATATCTATCGCCAATGCTGCTGCTGTATCTGTCGGTGAGTAGCTGCAAAACAATCGATGAAGATCAAGAGTAAAACACAAATCAAAACCAATCAAAATAGTCTAAAAAATTAATAATAGTCAGGGTAACGTTTATATAAATGGGATAGGGCTTACAAAAGAAAAATATTTGTATATCTTAAATAGTATAATGGAGAAAATATATATCCATGATGAATTACAAAAAATAAGATAGTGTTGATAAGCGCATAAAAGTTAAGATATAGTATATGGGAGATCCTAAAAGATAAATATTTATAGATCTTTGTCCTTATATAGTAATATGAATATGAATTGAATTATATGAAAATAAATTTGGATAGCTACAAAACGTTTAAGTAGCAGTACTGATAGCTTTTTAAATGGATTTGAGTATATTGTAGCTAAAATATAAATTTCTTTCTATATGATCTTTTTTTTTTTTTT